AAATAATGTGTGAATATACTACCATCACACTCAGGATTAGGAATGTTCTTCATTTTTTCTTTTCGTGGACCTGTGTAGTAGTTAGTCGATTTGCGTTTGAAAATTTTTATGAATTACAGTTTCGATTTCGATTAAATACCAATGTATATAATATGAAATGCCTAGAAGCTAGAACGATCGTCTGCACACAAAATAATATAGTAGTTATATTTATATACCTACATATATATTATATAATGTATATGTATTTATATAAATCTAATGTAACTATAATATTATATATGAATGTTGTGAAAAAATACACATATAGTGGTAATGACTAAGATAAAATTATACAAAACATTTTTCCGATATAGATTAGGCTTAATATTTTGTTGTATTTTTTGCTCTATACACGCGATGCCTCGTTTGTTTACGAACGTGGCAAAAACAGTTATAACATCAAAGGCGTCCAAATCTGGTAAAATATTGACGTTTGTTTGATACATATTTAATGTATCATCTTAAATTCTTAATTACATAATTGTATAAAAATTATATTTAGTTGATACGCTGCAGTGAATATTTTCAATATAAAATTAACTAATTTTATTGTGTATGTATCATACAAATTACGAATTGCCGCAGAAGAGTGTGTAGATCTCGTCTCGCTCCAGTCAACCCGACGCTACCCAGTGTAGTATAGTCCTTAATTTAATTTATAAAGAAGTGATTCAAACATCATTCAAAACGAATGGGAATTTGCTGTATAATACGAGTATTGTATCTACTTTGGAATGTTTTAAAATTGTTTTAATTGTTTATCCACACTTGCAAAACTACAGCAATGTATTGAATGTTATAGTTTTGGTCAAAACATTTTCCTAMTACATAATAGGCGTGAATATTTTTTCAAATTTGTTGAATATAATATTATTTTTAAATGATATGGTCTAATATAAATAGACATTAAATAATTGTATAATTGTTACAAAATTACATTTTGATAGCATCCTAGTTAATTATAAATTATATACAAGTGGGGAATC